AAAAGAGCAAAGTGGTATGACTTTATATGTCAGGTCAAAGCACGTGTCAATAGGTCCGGTTTCCTTGAACACCATGGCATTGCTTAGAGAACGTTCACTCCCAGAAATCACCCATCGAGGTAGCCAGTATGGCCTTTCTCATTATCCAGATTTTCTTTTGAAACACCCACGTTGAAGTTTGTTTCCATCGATGTCATGTTACCATTGAAATTGCAATGAATATTGGAAACGCTTCCGTTGAACAACTTCAAGAGATAAGTTTGAGCCTTGTGAGCATACAGCTGATCATTAGGACCTAGTCGAATGACCAATGTAGTCTGATTAATCGGCTCTGAACATTGCATTATAATTGTGATGTATGAATGATCTCACAGACTCACAATGAAGTCCAATGGTCCCAATATAATAAAACTTGATAAGTTTCATAGCAAAGTCAAAAATCAGGAGAGTTTTCGGACTGAAGAGATCCCAGGGTCACCAGCGTAACTCCAAACTCTTAAACTGACTGATCCTACATACGACCTAATCTGAGAAAGGTTTAACCCTGCTTGATCAATATTTTCGTTCAAAGGGCGTACCTTCTGAAAATTTTGCAGAAGTATCGAGAATTTGTGTAAGATTATCAAGTGGTGCGATCACGGTCAAGTTCCGATCAGTGCAATAGTATTCCTTTTCGCCGATGTTTCTAACACAACATACATAATTACCAGAATAATTCGGTAGCAGTGATGTGAACCTTAACAAGTTTTTCGTACTTTTCCACATTTCCACTTACCGAGGTGTAACCCACCGGATACTTTGGTTGTTCTCAGCAAATATGATGTGAGCTGTATTGAAATTCAGTTCGCTGTCTTTTTTCCAGATCTTCTCCATGGCTGCAAACCCAGGCAGAGCCATCTCCCACTCATTGGCGCAGTCAATTTGTAGGAGATTCTCGGTCGAGCCGATATAGCTGGCTGCAGATTGACTGATTGTTGAACGAAAAGGAGAAACTCATAATAGTAACCAAGTCAACTGAATGGGGAGCAGACCACAGTTTAGCAGCACATTTGTGGGCTGACCCCGGTGCACAGGGGGCATCGACAGTGGTCCCTATCTGTACAGAGAGGTTTAGTAGCTTACCATGTTCAATCTGAGGTAGGGATACATTTTTCAGGACCGCGCCTCGAGAAGAAACGAATATGGAAAAGAGTAGAAGTATCCAATACATGTAGGTTCCGATTTTGGAATCGACAGGAACTGAAGAAATATGGCAAGTAACTGCTCAGTGGTTCTCGACGGAAAAAAAGCCTCGCGATCCTGGGAGATACCGGCTATACTGCATGTGAACAACAACAGCCACAATAAAACAAACCGGAAAGGATCGAAAGTCAATGAATTATATAGTAGCTGTGGCGAAAGAGCTAGTAGATGAGTAGTTGAAGAAACAAGTGGCTCCTTCTCACTGAAATGTTAATCCCAGTCTCTATCCCTTTCCTAGGATTACCCCGACGACGTAGAGAAGAATACAATGGGAGTGATCTTTGGGATCATGCTTCAGGCTTTCATGTGCCATGGGAATTGTCATCATGAAATCGCTGAGTCTTCCATTGGAGAGCTCCGAAAAAGTTCGAAGTCCTATAGCCAGAAATTCTACGCGGATAAGGGTTAGAAGCGTTTTTAGTTTAGATGCTCACGATGGAAATCACTGGTTTTGGTTGTATTGGCTCGGAATGAACTTCCTTTGTTTACGGGTTGGCCCATTCGAGAAAAGGGGTTTTACGACGACCGATTATCAGGCAAGTATGCGAGACGTACTGGTGATGTACGCTTAAGTACTTTGGCCAGTGAGCAGAAAGAAAGGCATGGATACGCCTCAACAGCTACCAGTGAAATCCGTGTGCATGGCTTATCTCACGTCATTCAGAGCGGGTGCCTTCACCTATAAAATTCCATCAATCTACGAACCCTAGCCGACACCTACTCCCCTTTTCATTCTTTTGCACCTGCAAGGTACTACTGCAGTTGTAATTGGTTTTTAGCCAACAGATGACTTCTGGTTGATATCCTTTACACTTCCCCAACCCAGAACTTTCTGCACCTTCCAAGACTTCCTTTCGATTCCTCACTGTCCTCGTAAGCATGACAATTTTTTCCGAAAAGGGGAGAGTAAAACCGAGAATCATTCAATCCATTTAAAATTTGGTTTCAAAGGCCTTCCAAATTTTGAGGACTGCTGAGAAAAAATCGATTGGATTGAAAATCTAATCCGTGATCTGTAGGTCTGCGACATATTCCCTTGAATGTTATTTTTGCAACTTTTTGGATAAACCATGCACCACACTTCTATTTTGAACCACAGAGGCTTTTGAAATCGTACAAAGATGGTCAAGGACCTAATGAAACCACACAACACTAAAGCCATCACCATCAAATCCCCACGCAACCATGGGACTGACCCGGCCTATACCAGGCAGGTCTTTGTCCACCTGGATCTAATCTGTGATGTTCTGGGTGTGGCAGCTGTTCTACCCAATACTGCTCTGATTCCACCCATCCCATTTTGGCTTATGTGTAGGGGCCAGATATCGTCAAGAACACTCGAAATCTATGGTGAAAACGAGACCATCTGCTTTCAGGATGCTACTATTAATCAGAAACCTTACCAATATCGATTCCCTTAACTATACTATATTGTCTTCGATAACTATAGTAGAAGCTATTGCACTATTCTTTGGACTATTCCTTCTTGGCATCACCGTCCGTCTAGCTACACAAGCACCATTTCATTGGAATCTTCTACTGATAATTACCCTAGTACTTTCACAATACTATATAGCCATAGTGTCACGTTTAGTGATGTTGGCTCTTCAAATGCATCTTGTCCCACTTGAAGGTATCAGCTATTTTATATAAGATTTTAAATGAAAACGAAGAAAACTTGATAATTTTCAGGCGAATTCGAAAGCAGTACATTGGTGATGATCTGTTCGTTGTGTAGACTATACTACTTTGCAACAAGCTGTATGGGGTAAGCCCTGAAGTCGGTGATTTTCCGATCGAATTCGATAGAACGACTTTTTCACTACCAATTCTGAGTGCGATTCTGATATCTATTCTGATTTAGATTCTGAGATTTCAGAAAAAACACGAACTTCCATCCAAGCATAGAC